TACAACATGATAATACATGATACAAATGTGGAATTTTCCAGCCAGCCATGGCTTTGAGTCCAGGGCTGCTGCCAGGACCCCCGGCCTCCTTCCAGCTATCGCACCCCGTGTTTCGCAAGACGGCGCGCTGCTGTTTGACGGGTGCCTGAAAAAGGGGAAAACATAATGATCACCATGGCCGCACATCGAATTCCACCGTTTTCTTAGTTCTCTTTGGGAGTCTTGGGAATTGTTTCAACCACTCTATTTGATACAAAAGTCTGAGGGTCAAAGTGAAAGGTTAACCCATTTTCCTAATGTTAAAGTTCTAAAGCACACCAGAAGCTTCCTGGACACGATCCATCAGGCATGCAGGTTTGGGATGATCAGCTACTCTGCAATCAGCGTAATCACTTCGTAAGTTCAGGAATCATCCCATTCCCATAGGATCCATGTATGCTATATATGGTAACATTTACCATCAATGTACCCCAAATGTTAGCATATATACCATACATGGATCCTATGGGATTATATATAGATGGCGTGGACCGGGCGTACCTCCGGCCTTGAATCCAGTTACCACAAAGCCATGAAATTTGGGGATAGACATAGCCAAGGTCTATCCCCAATGGATGTTCAGGGGCCGTCGACGTTGCGGGACTGGGATGGAAGATCTTGAATGATTGGCGGTAGGGTACCCGTTGGGAAACATTCACAATTTGCTATTGAAAATATTTGAAAATGGTGATTTATAGTGGATTTAGCCATTAAGAATGGTGATTTTCCATAGTTATGTTAGTTTACCAGAGGGTATATCTGAGGTTAAAGTTGCAGTTTGTTCCAACTTGGCAAATGTTTTTTCACCCTTTGGCCAATGCAGTCGATTGAATGAAACATAATAATAGCTCATACTCATACACATTATATACATAGAATATCACATACACATAATCATAGATTTTTGGCTCGGTGTATATAAATACTATCAGCATCATCATTGAGATAGTTCACATTTATCACAACTGTTCATGATTGCAACTGTTTATTCAATGGGTTGGATTTAAGGGAAAATCTTAACCGGAAACATCCGGAAACCATAGATTGTCCCAATTTTTCCCATGAAAGATGGGGCGTTCCTGTAAAAATTCCCTTAAACCAATCCATTGATTCCACAAAAAAATGCAGAAACTCCTGAGATCTTCCAGGCGCCACGTTTGTCCAGGCCCAAGGGGCGAAAACGGCTCCGTCCGTGGGCTCCGTTGGCTCCGTTGGCTGCGTTGGCTCCGGCATCGGGCCACTGCGGATGATTTCCAGGAAACCCCGGATCTACCTGCAGCAGCTGGGACCGCTGGGACCAGGGGTAGGGATGATGATCCAATCTGACGAACTGACTTTCATATTTTTCAGAAGGGTAGGTATACCACCAACCAGATAATGATAGTGGGTTCCATTTGAGATAAACTGATTGAAGTGGGAGTATGCCAGTTCATGGTTTCGTACTTGGGACTGGTACGGGCAGGGAGCGTCGCAGGGGCTCGCTGCGGGTCAAACATGTTGTTTCGAGGTATCCATATTGCTCGATGATCCGGGGACTCATCACGACCCAAGAATATCACTGCCATTCACTGCCTCTTTTTGTGATATACCCTCTGGTAAACTAACATAACCATGGAAAATCACCATTTTTTTGGGGTAAATCCACTATAAATGGTAATTTTCTATAGCTATGTTAGTTTACCAGAGGGTACCCTTTTTTGGGATGATGAAACTGGGTTGCACTTAACTCAGTGACTCTAGAGTTTGAGCTGCGTTGGCCGCCTCTGTTCGGAAAAAAATTAGCTCACTTCATTTCATAGGGGTGACAATGGCATGCAGAGGGTTACCCTGAGTCCAGTCCACAGCTACCTAGAGGCCAAACAGTCTTCATGTTTGGCCTCTTTTTTGGATGACAGATGAATAAGTAATTATCCTGAATGATCCTGAAATCATGATATGTTTTTTGGGGGATGGCTTCAAGCAACAATCAGCCATCATATTCACACTTGCCACTAGGTAAATGGTTCAGGAATGAGTCTGTTGATCCTTTCATGCGAGACTTGCTGTGCAATGCACCTACAAGTTTATCCCTGCTGTCTCACTTTGTCCAGCATCTTCACTGAAGCCGTGGTTGGGTCGTAATTTGGGAGACAAAAACAACTCAGTAAAACCATGATTTCACAACTTGTTTCCATACTTGTCCCAAGTGTCCTATTAGCCCTGCCCTAGTGAGGTCGCAATTCCTGCAGCCAGCGGAGTGTCAGATGCTCATGCACATGTTGCCTGGCAGTTGGAGACAGCGCTTTAAGCCCATCCAGCTCTACATGTACCATGATAGACCATGATATACCATGAAATACGATGAGATACCACGATATACATATATAATAATTCCATATAATTCCAATGGGTATTCTTCAGCATATGCAGTATCCGGTCTAAACCACTGTTTAGCCTAGTTGTACGAACCTATTTGCTGGGCCCCACCAAAAAGGCTATGTGAAAATGGTCTCCACAAAACATCCTTCCAGCTGATGGACCCTGAAGTCCACCAGTGGGTTTAACATCCATAAAATGAATAGTATGGGACATTGCACTCACATTGCATCAACTGTCCATGTACATTTACATATATATATATATGTACATATACATATCAAGACGTAAAAGGAATAAAACATAATAAAACATGTACATCAATACATCCTTTTGAACCAGTGAGCCAGCGCTTCCCCCTGCCAAACCATGTGGCTTTCTCCACATTTGTTGCCAGCTGAAACTTTGGATCATGGTACGCCCCGGCCTCCCCCCCAAAAAAAAACACGCCAATTTATATCATGGTATATCATGGTATATCAAATTTTCGGACAAACGACCATCTCCACATATATCCACGTTTCTGGGAGCGTGCTCCTTTTTCATCCGTCCATGTTACCTCCACCATGAGCCCAGGATACTCCAGAGAAAGGACATTCAATGCCTTGGCGTGGCGACGGCTATATGATAGAGCAACCGTCCATACGGATCCCATCACTGGATTGTTTTCATAGGTTATTTTCATGGTATTTTAATACGGGATTGATGGTTGTTTCATGGTTAATGAATGTTAATGATATTGAATTATGGATTATGAAATATTATGAATGGGATGAAAAAGGATTGTTAGTAGGTCGTATACTGGTTTGGGGGGAATACTGTGTAACAGATAGGGACTTAACGAGATCTAATGGAGAGTTCATCAGCAGCAACGGGGATGCAGCATGGGACCGTCTATCCGTTGGGCATGGATCTTGTGTCCGGTTGTATTCTCTTTGGTAGTCTAAGCTGGCGTCTAAGCTGGCTGGAAGAAAAGCCATGGATAAATGGTTGCCCAACTAAACATGAAGGGGGATCCAGCCTACCAGATTACATTAAGAGGGAGTACACAAATCATCATATATCAATATAATTCACCTTTCTGTTGGTGCACTCGGAATGTCTGCTGGTAACCCGTGTGAAAGTGAGAATAATCCATTTATAAGCATATAACCATGGATGATTTTCCCAAAAATCACCCTCGGACTCTCCTTACTTTGGAAGATTAACTAAAATCCATTGAAAGGATGATCCTCCTATATTATATTATGTTATATTATATCATATTATGTTATATTATATCATATTATATTATATTATATTATTTTATTTTATTTTATATTTTGTTATATATATATTATTATATTATATTATATTGTATTGTATTATTTTATTTTATATTATGTTATATTATATTATATTTTATTATATTATACTATATTATATTATATTGTATTTTATTATATTATTTTTTATTTTGTTGTATTATATTATATCATATTGTATTATATCATATTATATTATATTGTATTATATTATATAATATTATATTGTATTATATTTTATTATATTGTGTTATATTATATTATATTATTTTATATTGTATTATATCATATTATATTATATTGTATTATATCATATTATATTGTATTATATTATATAATATTATATTGTATTATATTTTATTATATTGTGTTATATTATATTATATTATTTTATATTGTATTATATCATATTATATTATATTGTATTATATCATATTATATTATATTGTATTATATTATAATATATTATATTGTATTATATTATTTTATATTGTATTATATTATATTATATTATGTTATGTTATATTATATTATTTTATGTTTGTTAGATTATATTATATTATGTTATGTTATATTATATTATATTGTATTATGTTATATTATATTATATCATATTGTATTATATCATATTATATTATATTGTATTATATTATATAATATTATATTGTATTATATTATATTATATTGTATTATATCATATTATATTATATTGTATTATTTTATGCTATATTATATTATATTATGTTATGTTAAATTATATTATATTTTATTAACTTATTATATTATATTATATTATGGTTTTTTAATTTGTATTATATTATTATATTGTATTATATTATATTATGTTATGTTATATTATATTATAGTATATTATGTCAGATTATATTATATTATGTTATGTTATATTATATTATATTTTATTGTATTATATCATATTATATTATATTGTATTATATCATATTATATTATATTATATCATATTATAATTTATTGTATTATATCATATTATATTATATTGTATTATATCATATTATATTATTTTGTATTATATTATATTATATTGTATTATATCATATAATATATTATATTGTATTATATCATATTATATTATATTGTGTTAAATCATATTATATTATATTGTATTATAATATATTATATTGTATTATATTATATTATATTGTATTATATTATATTATAATATATTGTATTATATTATATTATATTATATTGTATTATATTATATATATATGTATTAACTTCCCAATTTACTTCCCAAAGTCTTAAATTGGTGTCCCACGGTAGGAGCGCTGCAACTTCCAGACCAAGCTACGCGCACCCCTGGAGCCCGAGGATCCACGCTGGACGGCTGAGCAGTGCCTTGGGAGGCAACAGACAACCGGTCAGGGATGTAAAAACCTGGGCTGCTTTTTGTGATATTCATAGCAACAGGCCACTGATACTCTCTGAACATGACTTGTTTCGGCGAGTGGTTTCTGGACTTGGGACTTGGCGTCGCACGTCCTCAAAATCGACTCTGCCACCACCGAAATTCTTACCCTGGGAGCTAACCCACCCGGCCCCACCTTTGGGATCCACAAAGGGCTTATATATCCAACCTGGCAACGCAACGTTCTAGAAATATTTGGTTATGTGTGGCTACTGGTGTCAGAGGTTTTTAAATGATTCCCCCATTTGACATGGACATAATCTGGTTGGTGGTTTGGAACATGTTTTATTTTTCCATATATTGGGAATGTCATCATCCCAACTGGACTTTCATATTTTTCAGAGGGGTTGACCTAAACCACCAACCAGTAATGATCGCCATTGACTTCGTAACTTTTCAGGACCGACATGCCAAGTTCGGAGATCTGGCAATGGCAAATTATAGGCATACCCAGAGCTTCCCCCCGGTCATATTTATAGATATTCATAGCATTTTATAGCTGAGATGTTCCTTGAAAAACCAATGGTGTTCCGTAGCGGCAGCTTCAGAAAAAAAAATACATTATATATAACAATATGAGACAATATGATAAATTTTGCCTATAAATAATGATAACATATGATAACTAATAATTACCTATATAATCTTATATGGCATATATATATATATATTGGTTCGTGGTTCCATTGCTGGAATGTTCAACGCTTAGACGGTGATCCCCCCAGCTTGACCGAGGCGCGCCTTGATTCTGAAGATCGAAGACCGGGTGGCGGAAATCTCAGGCGCTGCGCGGCACCAGGATGAGACGGCCCTGGTGGGTACCTTGCACCGCCGGGGGGGCTGGGGATACCGGGGCTATCCATGGCGGCCAAATGGGGATACCGGTGATGGGATGAAAAAATCCATAGGGGGGGATAATAAGACCTGGGGGGAGCACCTTTAGTGCCTAGAAACATGTAGGTCTAGGATGATCTAGTGACGGTTTAATGGTTATATAATTATATATCTCCAAGAAATTGGATGAAACTGACCAGAATTATACACTGTGAATATACTGGGGGATGTTGCGATCCGGGGGAAGAAACGGTCCTGAGTGACATTAAGCAATTAGTTGTAAAACCAAGCAGCTTACCCTCTGGTTATGTCAACATAGCAATGGAAAATTGCCATTTATAGTGGATTTTCCCATTAAAAATGGTGATTTTCCATTGCTACGTTAGTTCACCAGAGGGTATGAGAATTTATAGTGGGGATCTAATGGTAATGCAATTGAATTGAGTATGGTGGAATGTAGCCAGAACATACTCGGACACATAGCCACACAAATGAAGATGCTGACCAATCAGTTTATGGGATACATTGGAATATTTATGATGGGAATATAATCGAAAATCTTGGGTATGTGGGTTGTTCAAGAATGGGTTGCCGTCAAAATAAATCCAGCGATTCATCACTTTTCCATTGAAATAATCATGGATATCGGGGTACTTCCAGCATTTGTTTGGGGCAAATCCAAATACCTCCTGGTGAGAAGATGTTCGCAACCATGTTTCCAATCTTTGGGTTGTTTTCCTCGTGTCCTACCTTCTTCCGGCTGGAATAGGTGATTTTCAAAGACTGAAATTTGTTTAAAGAAATGGTTTGGACTCACAAAATAGTTATTCCGTAGTACCACCCCTTCCAAAATCCTCAGGTGAAGCTTGATGACCTGTATGAATGTCGAGGATTCAATCAAGGTGACCCCAATATAAAATAAATATATAAAATAGACGCGACTAGTGACGCCCTTATTGGTTTCAAAAGAAACCTCAAGCCAAAAATCGTTGGGCCGGGTGCAGATCCTTTGTTTTTGTTGAATCCCCATGCTGATGATCCCTTGATCCAATCCATGATGTTCCAACAGAATTGGACACGACTAGGCAGTTGGACATCGCCAAATTTAGGGATGGGAAACGGATACTTGTTTACTACTAATTACTGAAAAAAAGTGGTTTTTCTTTTAAACTCATCCAACTTGCCAGTAGGATTTGTGCAATCCACACCTCCTGTCCGCGTGATATGATGCCAGTGGCTCTCAATCGCTCAAGGTACGCTAACACCGCCGCAGGCGAGGATCGATGGGTGGTGCTGAGGTGCTATCAGAGATGATGGAGGAACACTTGGCAAAGATTCAGATATGTATATATATATTATTATCACATATATATATATATATGTGATATGTGTGTGATATTGCTATATATATATTCATAATAGTATTATATACTCATTCATTTAATTTTGACATATAATATATATATAACTGATATGGATAGCTGCAATGATGTGTAATGACAGTAATGTACAATCATCATGGTTAATCTAGAAAAATACAGGTAACTGGGTTTTACGTTCCAGATAAATATACAGTCTGGATTGATTCAGATTGGTGTTGCTTTTTCAGACTGGTGTTGCTTTCCGCATCTGCAAGGATCATGCGAAATTCCATAATATGAAGACAACATAATACAAATATATATATATACACGTATATATCTTTATAATATATATATATATGTGTGTATATTTTAAAAAAATAATTGGAATTCAACCACCCTCCGCAAGGGTAAGCCCCAATAACAAGGGTCTGGTCGGGGCTTATGAACCACCAACCACAAGGAAAAAACAGCTATCTTTGGGGGTTCAACTTATGGGTGTGTTGGTCAAACTTAGCATTTGGTGTGGCAAAACCGCAGGCCTCTGGCGGCATCAGTGAGCATTTGGGTCTTCATGTCAGGGGCCTTGTGATGACGACGAGTCACTGTGGTGGTCGGCCAGTGTTTCACTGGATTGGGGCCTAACAAAAGTGATCAGCTGGTTGCAGGTTTTGAATGCCAAATGGTTCGCAATTGTTTTCCACTGTTCTCCTGAAACCTAGACTGTGAAGTTTCCCAGCTTCTTTGCTAGTTGTCATCCAAAAGTTGCTAGTTCTTCCCAGCGGGTGGACATACAGAGGAATTTTTAGTGGGAAGTTGCATTGATTGTTTCCCGGCCATGTGGTAAATCCCACGGTAACTCATCCCATCTCATCCCCAATTTACCCTCTGGTAAACATACAAAAAACTATGGAAAATCACCATTTTCAATGGGTAAATCCACTATAATCACCATTTTCAATGGGTAAACCCACTATAAATCACCATTTTCAGTAGCTATGTAACAAATTACCAGAGGGTACCCCGGAATTGACATGGAATAAACAACCATCCCCAATTGGAGGTGTCTTTGTGCTGCGTCTACCGAGGAAAAAAAAAGTAAAGCCAGGTGAATAAATACCACAAGCTCACTGCAGGGATGCAGCGATGCAACCCAGATGATCTCTGTGGTCTGGAAACATTTCATGAGAAAATCAGGATGCCAAAGCTTTTCAGATATGTTTTTGTTGATTTTTAAGAAAATAAGTTTCTTAGCAGCAAGGTGTTCCTTTTCCTCAGGCTTTTCCGGGCTGCTTGTCAAAGGGCAATTCGGAATGATGCCGAATCGCCCAAATATAACTATAGTAACTATGTATATATATAAATGGGAGTATACACTACATATATATATATAGATATGTATATATAGCCCAATGCTATATATATAATATATCGCAGTATTAGTATAGTATGTGCAATGTACATGGAAAGCCCACGGGGCTTGCGCTTGTAACACTCTCTGCGAGGTCGATACCAATGCAGCGCACTGGCGTTTTTGCACCGTCGCTTGGCATCAGGGGTTCAACCGATGGGATCCAACTAGTCAAATAGCTGATTCAGGGCTGGTGTAATTCTTTAATCCCAAGTTTTTCTGGTGGGGTTATTTTTAAAAAAACAATAAGCATTCATAATCCAACAGCAACTCATTATTCTTCAACCCTTATTTTTTTTTCAGAAAATGGCATGAACACCCAAAAACAATTTAACAAGCTATTCTTCAACCTGTGTTGATTATTCAAAAAAATGGAATTCTTAGGCCTAATGGCATTAAACAAACTATTCTTTAGTCAAGCCATGTGTTTTTTCAACCCACCCAGGGGATCGCTGAGGCCATCATCTACCTCTCCACTTTGGGCGCCGGCGTCACCGGGGGCGAGACGGTCTTCCCGGTGGCGCTGGATCCGCAAGTGGAAGGCCGAAAAATGATAACAGACTAACATGGTTGAACCAGAAAAAAATGGGGGTTAACTATGTTTAATCAGATCTGATATATATATATCTCTCTCTCTCATGTTTGAAATTTGATTTGCTGGTGGCCGGTGACTTGTTTGGATGTTCTGATTGGGTGAGTCCACCAGAAATGAGTCGTTTCTGGAAATATCGTTTATCTCTGGAGCAGGTCCAAGCAATGTTATCCAGCAGCTTGTTTTTTTGGCAATAAAAACAGCCCTTTCCAAATCACAATTACTAAGAGAGAGAGAGAGATGAAACTTATGGGTTTTTGGTAGCTGGTAACTACATGGAAAGATTCAGTCACCATAGCCGTTACATGCCGTTACTATATACTACAATGTAGTTACATTGTTACTACATGCTGTTATTTGCTGGAAAAACAGAGAGTATCATCAAACCAAAAGTGGTCAGTTGATCTTGAGTGCAATTGCTAAGTCCTTTTTTGGCGTTCTTCAATAGATCCACGGATACTTAGCAAGTGGTTTGTGATCTTGATAAGTTCCCTATATGAGCGAGTTATCATGGTTTCTGCAATCCTTCTTTTTGCTAGATGTATGGTGATACATGCAGACATATGACATATGCACTACAAAAATACATATGTACGTGTATAATATTATATATAATATGCAGTATGCAGTGGAATGTAATGCATGGTAGTGTTACAGAATAAATATCTTGTGTATACATGGTAGTAATATCTTTTTTTACAGGTAATACACAAGAATCTTACGCATCCTCCGCCCAGATCCAGGACCTCCGGATGAAGCCTCCGAGAGACTTATCGAGGCAGATGAAGCGACTGCAGCAATGTCCCACTGATGTCCCAGCAATTGCCTTGCCATTAGGGCTGAAAATTATAAGCTGAGTGAGTATATTGACAACTGATAGCCAGGGTTTTTGGGGTCACCGTTTGATTTCACCCAAAAAAAAGCACGTTTCTCCACAGCCAAGCCATGATAGGATGCCACCCAAGTCAGTAGACTGACAGGCCAAGACTGGCATGTTGCCCTCTTGGATGATGAGTCTAATGAGTGTCAATTAATTTTTAAACAGACCCTTTCATCAAGAATCAAGCGACATTTCAAAACATATCAACTATGGATTGGAGACAGGGGATTGGAAGATCCAGCTATCTATTCCGCAGAGAGGTGGGCCCGTCGGGCCCGTCCAGGCTGCTGGGGAGCTTTTAGACTTGAACTTGGATCACACTGACAAGGCTGGAAGATGCTGGCTGCGATGCTGGAAGATGCTGCGGTTCATGATATCATGATGGTAGATGATGTTGGTAGATGGTTATGATATGTTAAAAACTGTTATGATGGTAGAATGGGCATCCCAACATGTGATTTGTCCTGCTTAGTTTGGAGATATTTATGGTGATGCAATGATGGTTTACAACAGGCATTGATCCATAGCCATTTGCACAAACAGAATTTAGTGCATATGTCACATTTATACCTTGGGCCCAGTATCATTATATAATCAATCCACATCCTGATTTTACCTTGCAAAATCGACCAGTAGAGGGGCATACAGTAATACTGTAGATCATCAATCCACGTGATAATAAAATACTGTCTCGGTCCCCCTTCAGAACACGAACTGGCCGCCCACTAGATTGTAG